ATCACTTAAAACCCAACCAACCACCCACCCCATTCCCCTCCAAGAAGACACCCAAGGCGTGTCAATTCAAATGCTTTTAATAAACAACTGCGTTATAAAAAAAGGCTTTTTTATATGAAGTTGGAACTTCATTTTGCAAGGAATGAGCGTGCTGATTTTGGTGATGACCTGATATCAAGTCCTAATGGCACTTGATATTTTTACAGTTTAAAAAGCTTGTTTCCAGCCCCCAAAATACCCCATCAGAAGAGGTTATTCGCTGTGTGTAAAAGTGCTAGAAAGCTCCTTTTTTAGAAAAGCAGCTGAGCTTTAACAAGGGGAAGCTTCTGGCTCCGGCAGCTGTAGCTGCGGGAGGGACGTCAGGCACCGGCCCCGTGAGACCCAGCCCAGGAACCGGCAGAGCGAACTGCGGCCCCGGCGAGAGACGCCGCATCGCTCCCCTCGGCTCCCAGGCTGAGGAAGCCCAAGCCCTTCCCCTCACCGCGGGACATTTGCTGGCTCCGCAGGTTCCCTCTGCCCTCCCTCTCGCCACCAGCCAGTTGTCAGCCCGCCTCGAAGGCAGACAGCTCTCGGGTTTCTTTGTTCCCTATCTCTGTTTAAGGAGAATACTGGTACAGATGTTACAAAACAATCTTTCTAAAAATAGTTTCTAGATATTAGGGATCAGTAGGGGGGGAAAACCCAACAGCAGTCAAGGCTGAGGCATTTGGTAGGGCAAGGAGAAGCCATGAACTCGAGGCAGGCTTCTGGCAGGAGTTCGGGAACCTGCCCAGCGCCAGCTCTGCGCTCGGGCGCGCGGCCTTGCGCACCCTTTCCAGTCGCCTCTTGAAGCAGGGTGTGCTGGTGGGCTCCAGGAGCGGACGCTTGCGTGTCACCTTCAGTGCCAGCCACCGACCCGCAGAGGAGAAGGGGCTGCCAGGGCAAGCACCGGATCCTGGTCGGCTCACCCGGATGCTAAAGCAGCCAGGACGCCTGAGCTGAGCAGGACGCTGGGGCTGCTCCTGTCCCGCAGGCTTCGCTCCGAGCTGCCCCGCATCGCCTCGGGCCCTTCTGCCTTAGAGCTGGTTGTCCGCTCGTGTAGCAGTTTCAACGACAGACAGGGTACGTGAAGTAGAGGGTGAGAATGAAGGTGAAGTGAACTGTTAAGTGAGGGATGGTTGGTGTTTAACAAGACGCTTTCGCGTGGAGGATTGTTCCCCCAACTGAAAAGGAGGAGCTGACCTATTGAACAGTTAAAAAAAACTTGATTCCAAGTTCCCTGTTCCTTATCTCCCGCAATGCCTTTACCTCTCCTTGCTTCTGTGTTCGCCCGATACAGAGGAGTTGCCTCCGCGGCACGTAGGTTCTTCGTGCGTGCTGGTATTTAGGCGCTGGTGGGGAGGGCTCCCGCAGGCCCAGCTTCAGGCTCCTCCCGCGAGCCCACCTGCACATAAGGAATAAAGCTGCTTCTGACAGGAGCGCGGAGCTCGTCCCGTGGTGTAGGTTTGTGAGCAGCAGAACCTGACCTGCTTTCTGGGTGTTGCTTTCTGATCACCGGTTCAGTTTTCGCTTGACCCGTTCCTGTGGCAGCCTAAAGCATTTAGCGGCGAGCGGCCTCTGTAACCATGCAGAGATGGCTCCCGGCACGGATCACGCAGGAGCCTGCTGAGGAAGGGCGCTGGGAGAAAGCTCCTTACCTGGAGCTACAGGATGCCTGGAATGCTTGGTGGGATTCCTAAAGGATCCCGCTCATTCACCGGAGTGAAGGGAGCACGTCCCAGGGTGGGGAGAATAGCACGGAGGTGAGCCCGATGCGAGCGCGCATCGATTGTGCGGCAGGGACGGCGGAACCCAAGGGAGTCTGCTGGCCCCGGAGCCGCGGGGCGGGGGGGCAGGTGAGGAGGGGGCAGTGGCGACCTGGACGGAAGCTGTGCCCCTCCGCGAGGGAGGCTCGGTGCTGCCGAGGTCCCCTGGGCACGGAGGGGTTGAGAGGCGCCAGGGTCGGCGATACGAGTGAAAACACAGCCCGGGCTTCCCGAGTCCCGGTCCAGCAGGCCAGGCCAAACCCAAACCCAAACGCCTTCTCCTACCGCATGGCTGTCGGGCAGGATTGTATTCAGAGCTTCAGAGGGCGATTCCCATCTCTGGGAAGTGGGAGAAACACAAGCAATAAGTTATGGAAAAAGACGCAAATTCTGGATAAAGATGGAACCCCGTGAAGTTCTGACGAAGTGGTTCCGGTGCAGAACGTTGTGGGGCTTGGGCAGGCAATTAACTACAGATGGGCACCCAAGGGAGAACGCGGTCAGCCCGAGTAACCAGGGTTAGAGAGGATAAGCAGGAAGGTGGGGGGACGGGGAGAGCATCTTTGAAGATTGCTTTGTGAACATTTTAATTGCAGGCCGTAGGAAATGCCTCTGCAGGGTTCTTCTTGCCAGAGAGCAACGGTGATGCAA